GGCTGTGTGACTTTGGGAATTTGAGAGTTTACTTAAACTTTCTTAGTTTCTTTATCTTTAAAACAATCTCACAAAAATAACTGTAAGGCTTAAGAGACATAAAAAATGCAAAAGATTTAATACCTGGAACATAATAAGTACTAAAAATAGCTATTATACTGGTACATTTTTTTCACTTTTACCTGAGTATAATGGCATTATGTGGATATAGCCTGAGACTAATTAGAAGATCAAAATTCCTTATTATAATTGAATATCCATGAGAAACAAAAGACTATCTTTCATGATCTAACCATTAAAAACAAAAAAAACAGCTTATAAAACTAATTGCTAAAGGAAATATATAGAGAATGACCTTTATCTCAATAGCTAGAACTAGAGTAAGAGAATCAGATTTTCTATGAATGTGGTTCCCCCCGCCCCAAGCTATGTTTTCTACGAATGTGGTTTTCCCCTCCCCTATGCAGATGTTACCAAGAAAATGAAGAAAAAGAAAATTAAATTTTCCAAAAATCAAGAAGAGAATATTAAGAAGACAGTAATCAGGTAACTAAATAACAATATCTTATGGAGAAAGAGAATAAAAGAAATTGACTTGAAGTTGTACTTTTCAGAAAAGCAAAGAGAAATTATTGGGAAGGCACTTGAGCAATTCATTGAGGTCATATTTTCTGCACCCCCTCATCCCATCCCATCCACAGTCTCCCGCTACCCTTTTTCTTGTGATTTAGGAAAGTTACTAAGAAAACAGGAGCCTGAATTACCAGGTTTGGCAGCATGGTTTATAGCCAATTAAAAGACTGGCAAGCTGCCATTTATTTTAGCTACACAAAAACCGAACAAGATAACATCATATGTTCAAGATGTTATTTTTTAAAATATCGATTAAATGGTAAAACAGAATTATGTCAATTAACACTCTTCAGCATTCTTTTGGTCTTTTATAGGATGATTAAACATGATACTATATTACTTTATTTTTCCTATATTCTTTAACCTGTTAGATAAATATTTCTGATTCCATAGAGCTTCTTTAGTAGGAAAAAATTGCTGCTGTGCTCTTGAACTAGGAGATCAGAAAGAAATTCAAGGAGAAGGGCACAAATGTGTATTAAATACCTCTGTGTGCTTCTCTATACACATTCTCCCATGAGCAGACACAATATCTCTGTACTCATATTAGTCCCATTTTATAAAAAATAAAAATAGAAGCCAGAGAGATTAAATAATTTTCCAAAGTCACAAAACTAATAATAATGGTTATACTAGCTACTATTTATTGCATTATCTCATCAATCTGTAAAACCCTATAGGTTGGATGCTATTATTATGCTCACTTTTAAAAATGAGAGAACAAGATAAGTAACTTGTCTGGAGTCACACAGCTGGCAAGTGGATCTAATACAGTAAACCCACATGGTCTGACCCCAGAGCCTTCCTGTTAATGCTTGCTCCTTCCCTATGCCAGTCTGTCTATCTTAAGAGCCCATTTCATTCATTCCTGATGAATGAAAATGCTTAGAATACAATTCTACACAGAGCTGGCACTCCATGAATATTATCATTAGACTGCATCTTGCCTGTGTTTTTCTAAGGAACTCATAATACAGAAAGGAGAATGAGTTTAGACTGGGTAATAATTTCCTGTCACTGCCTTTTCAATTGGATACTCTACTTCAAATGGTGACAGAATGGATGTGTCACTAGTCATTATTATCTCATTTGTGTATCTCACAAATATTCTCTGAGCCCTATATTGTGAGCCTAGTGATGAAATAAAACCATAAACAAGACAACCATGGAATAACTGTTAATAATCTGCTAGCAAGGAGTAGCTCACAGGGCCCCAATAATTACCAAAGTGGGTGGTTTTTTTAAATTATAAATTGAAATCCAACTCAAATCTTTTGCTTGGCCTCATGGAGTCCCCACAAGACCTATAGGAAGTAGGTTGCTAAGCCTGCCTCCTCCGGTGAGGGGACAGTCACTTGTGGAAATAAAGGTGCTTGCTCAAGCTCACAGAACCTACATCTCCTGGCCCGAAGCCCAAGGGTCTCTCCATGAGCTGACCACTTCCTCCTAGTTGCATGATTTCAAATCATGCATCTATCACCATATCAGAGTCATACATATTCCCCAGACCTGAGCCCGTTTTGACCCAGAATCCATCAACTAGAGGAGAGGCTGGTTATGCCGGGAGGTAGGACATTGTAACAAACACAATGACAAGCAGATAACCATACCCTGACTCTTTACCCACAGAGAACCACGGCAGCATTTAGGTGATCACACACTGGGATATGTGGGATATGTTTTGAGCATTATTGGACTCTGGGTACAAGCTGACATTGTTAATTAGGAACCTGAGGTATTTACATGGTCTCTCTTTAGAGTGGGGTCACATGGGGGAAGCAGATAATGTGTAGGATCATGGCCCAGGTCTGGCTCACAGTAGGCCCTCTGAGTCCGTGGATCCATCCAACAGTCATTTCCCCAGTTGCTGCTTTTTAATGGCGCAGGCATACATGTTAGTTAGTACAACCCCCTACATACTGTTTCTTGGCCAGTGGAGTAAGAGTTACCACAGTGGGGAAAGCCAAGTGGACGCTCTGTGACCCCACCAGCACCACCAGCAGCCGCCACAAGAGTAAATCAAGACCAATATCTAATGAATTGAAGACCATGTGTTCATAGGGGAGGGGGACCAGGGTAGCTATTGAAAGGTTCCAGTAACATGAACCAAATCAATTTCACAATCTGGTAAAGCTCCCTCCGTTGCTACAGAAATTTTAAATTTAATCATGGGAGTTAGTTAATTTTGTCTTTTTCTTTCTACTAGTATATATCCTTAGATACTCTTCCAACACAATCAAACATATATAAATCTTTGGCAATGTCAGCTAATTTTTTTCTTTTAAAAAAATCATTTGTATCTATAGGTAATGCAAATGTGTCACTTTTCGTTAGTTTTTAGGTCAGTGAAAACTTTGGATATGTGCTCATAAAGGCTTTCTCTAGAAACCATGAGTAGGAGCAAAACCCTGTGAAATTTTAAATGATTAGTCCAGAGTTTAGGGAAGATACCCAAATCATACCACTGGTTCAATTTAATGATTCAATTTCCTATGCAAAAAGAACAATCCAAAAATAAATTTTGTCTTAGAAGAAATAATTTGTCCTGTGTTCTGAAAGGAATAATCCCATCATGAATAAACATAGATATCTACAGTTTTATTTTTATTATTTCAGACAAGAATGCAAAATGATTACCCAATATATCTATAGCTACAGGTTCAAAACTGCCTTAAGTTTTATAGAGATAAAATATCAAACATTTACTATGTGTTCTCAAAGAACTAACAAGTGACCTTCTTATTTAGATTAATATCTGAGTAGTATTAGGGCACAAGGTTAAATTTAAAATAAACTTTGGGTTCTAAAAGCACTAAAAACAATTACAAAAATGTAAAAGAGTCAGGATGTGGTGTCAGACTGAGTGGACCCTACCCCACGTGTTCTTGCTTTAGTTGGTCATTTCACTTTACACTTCACCTTCCTTTTTTATAAAACAGTTCTTGGGAAGTTTAAATGAGATCAGATACCTCACTTAGTGCAGACCTTGGCACACAGTAAGTACTCAGTGAATGCTAGCTGCTATTTTTCCTATTATTTATTACTAGAGGCCCGGTGCATGAAATTCATGCACTTGGGGGGGGGGGACCCTCAGCCCAGCCTGCACCCTCTCACAGTTGGGGAGCCCTTGGGCAATGTCCAACTGCCAGGGAGGCGGGAGAGGCTCCCTTCACCTCCCCTGTTCTCGCCAGCCATGAGCCCGGTTTCTGGCTGAGCGGCGCTCCCCCTGGGGGTGTGCACTGACCACCAGGGGGAAGCTCCTGCATTGAGCGTCTGCCCCCTGGTGGTAGTGTGCATCATAGAGACAGGTCATTCAGCCATTCGGTCAATTTGCATATTAGCCTTTTATTATATAGGATTGGGGAAACAGTCTCAAGTAAAAGAGAGAAATATTGCCGAAACCGGTTTGGCTCAGTGGATAGAGCGTCGGCCTGCGGACTGAAAGGTCCCGGGTTCGATTCTGGTCAAGGGCATGTACCTGGGTTGCGGGCACATCCCCGGTGGGAGATGTGCAGGAGGCAGCTGATCGATGTTTCTCTCTCATCGATGTTTCTAGCTCTCTATCTCTCTCCCTTCCTCTCTGTAATAAATCAATAAAATATATTTTAAAAAAAAGAGAGAGAAATATTGGTAAGTCAACAAATTAGGCTTTTTCAGACACTAAGAAAAAATTTAAAAAGCGGGAGTCTTTTTCAAATTCCCTACAAGCAGCTCCTACAAATATTGAGTCTGATGATGTTAAACATTGAATACAATAGCAGAGCACATCACCAAAGCATCCCCCATCCCCCAAAGAACTCTCAAGCCCCCAGCGCTCCTGTAATCAAGGTCACCATCAATCATCCCCACCACTCCGCGTTCTTCCATCATACCTTATCTTAAAAACAAATTATGTGCTTTACAATCTGCTCTTTACTTCTCTTCTGACTTTGTGATCAGGGTCGTGGTGATAGATGGTGTAACACGGCAGGATGTTTAGAACACAGCCCTGCTTAACCGACCAATATGAAAGGGACCACTCCCTAGGCCAGTGAGAAATGACAGATGTGAGTCACATACATGTCTCCTATTGCCCCCTCTCTTTATTCCTTTTTGTGTGCTTTAGCGACAAGCACGGAAATGAAATGCCTTCCTGCCCCTTGAAAGAAACCATAAGGTGCACTGTTAAAACACATTTGTCATTTCGAATATTTCGATTCGCTGATGGACATTTTACCAAGGCAACAATTTTTGGTGAACTGGCCACTGATAGTAAATTATTACTGAACATTTTCGCCTCCTATATCAACTAAATAATGAAGCGGACATTGGTAAAGTGATGATGAGCTCTTGGAGCTTAGGAAAGCTACAGTGGTTCGGTTTCTTACCTACAACAATGCCATAGGAAAAAAACAGAAAGTAGATGTTAGGGGCAAACCCGCTCAGCATTAGGCCTCCGGCCACCATGAAGCCACTGAAGATCGCCACAGGTCTTGCTCCAAACGATGAGACACAGAGGCTGCAGACAGGGCCTAAAAAAAGAAATGAAACCTTCACTTACGTCACAGTCATCTCCTTTTCACAACCATATTATCCATCCCACCCTAAGTGTAAAATGATTCTTTGCATCATAAAATAACAGCACTAAAATAATAATAAGCATCTCCAGTGTGCATACAATGTGCTGGACACTGCGTATTTCACATAAACAACCTCCTTTCATTTTCATCTTACTGCAACCCTGGGAGGTAGATAATATTGTTACCCTCATTTCTGTTGATAAGGAAATCGACGTGTCAGGATGGGGGGCAGCGCGGAACATGGTGGGCGTTGGTGATGTAGTGCTGGCAGTGGGCAGCAGTGGAGATGCTGCCGCCCCGATGGGCCCGACGAGAGTGGGACAGTGGCAGGATGTTGGAGCAGGTGAGTGGGAGGCACCAGGCCAAGGTGGGTGAGAGCGGGGGCCCAATCGGCCCACTGATCGCCCGCAGATGGCCAACAGTGGCAGCGGTGGGGTTCGGGCCGCCGCCCGGCTCCCAGGTGCTGAGGCGGCGCCAGGCCAAGGCAAGTGCCAGGAGGGGTTCCAGGCGGGGCTGCAGAGCTGCGAGGCTGGGGGCATGAGCTGGGGCCCAATCTCCGCAGGCCACCCCAAGGGACCCCACCTGTGTATGAATTTGTGCACTGGGCCTCTAGTTAGAAATAAAAGGATATTAAGTTATTTAGCCCAATAGTCTCATTTATATGGAAGGATGTAAATGTGCTCATTTCATGGTGTGTTCAGCTTATGAAAATTTCACTGGGCTATACTCTCATGATAGATACACTTTTCTGTATGTATTTTTTATTTCAATAAAAAGAAGTCTTAAGAAATGTTAAAAGGAGAAATGGTGAAATCTACCCACAGTCTCATTGTTAGTAAATGATAGAGCCAGAATCCAAAGACCCCAAGACCAGCATTCTTGCCAATTACAGTAGTCACCCTTATCCATGGTTTCCCTTTCCCTGGTTTTGGTTACCCTCAGTCAACTGTGGTTTGCAAACATTAAAAGGAAAATTCCAGAAATAAACAATTCATAATTTTAAGTTGCGTGCCATTCTGAGCAACATATAATGAAATCTCTCGCCATCCGCTTTGTCCCGTCCAGGAGCTGAATTAATCTTTTGTCCAGCGTATCCACACTGTATATGCTATCCATCCGTTAGTCACTCAGTAACCCTCTTGGTTATCAGATTGACTGTCTCAGTATCACAGTACTTGTTTTCAAATAACCCTTATTTTCCTAATAATGGCCCCAAAGCCATTCACATAAAGAATATTGTGATAATCGCTCTATTTTAGTATTAGTTACTGTTATCTTTTACTGTGCCTAATTTATAAATTAAACTTTATCTTAAGTATGGATGTACAAAATAACAAGCATGGCTATAGGGCTGGATACTTATTCACAGTTTCGGGCACCCAGTGGAATACTAGTATATCCACTGAAGATAAGGGAGAGCTGCTGTACCAGAGAAGGGCTTAAGTGCATATTTAATTTAAGACGAGGTTATGACCACTGAGATAGCACTTAGCTCTCAATACCTGTGACTCTTTCACTTTCCTCCCTGATCATGAGCTGACCCCTGCCATTTCAGGTCCTCTCCAGTGTGAGCCAGAACAGAATACACTGAAATATTTATATGATACACAGAGGGGAATATTCTGTGCCCATGTTTTAAAAGAAAAAATTCATTTGAAATATCAAACTTTCCTAATAGTTGAGCTGTTTGTATACCTAATGAGAAATACTTAGATACTTCATGATTTTAAGATTCAAATCTCATAAATGGTTGTCTGACACCATAAGGGCATGCATGGCCTTTCTCTGTTGTTTAACAAATTGCATTTACATTGAGAGTCAGTGTTTACAAATGTAATAAGCACGATGGAATTGAAACACAGATATTATTACTGGCATAATTAAAAAGTTCCCTGTTTCATCCTCAAAGTAGGACTTCAAATCTATGTTCCTTAATGCATGTTATTAACTCCACAAGGAAATCCAGAGTCTGGGAAGCTGGGGTTGGGGATGAAGGTGTAATTTTCAACCAAACCCTCTGTTTTATAAAATACATACTTTATTATCAATTATGTAATAAATTCTTAAATCACTTTTGCCTAATACATGAATCTTTGAAAAAATTAAGCTTAAGGAAAAAATGATTAGAAATTCTTTGACACATGAAAATGGCAATTTGAAAACTGCTTTAAAAAAAATTTCTATTTCCACACTGCCACCTGCTGCTTACTTAGAGAAAAGCTGACATCTTTTCAAAAATTTATTTTTATTTAAGTGTAGTTGGTATACAATCTTATATTGGTTATATTAGTTTCAGATGTATAATACAGTAATTTAACATTTTTAAACCTTAAAATATGATCACTCCACTAATTCTGGTAATCATCTGTCACCATGTACACTTATTACAATATTGTTGTCTATATTCCCCTTCCCCTTTCACCTCTCCCTCAACCTCTCCCTTCTAGTAACCATCCCTTTGGTCTCTGTTTCTATGAATATCTTTTTGTTTTGTTTGTTTGTTTTCAGATTCCACATGTGAGTGAAACCATACGGTATTTGTCTTTCTCTGTCTGACTTATTTTACTTAGCACAATACCCTGTAGGTCCATCCATGTTGTCACAAATGGCAAGATATCATTCTTTTCCATTGGACTCCTGGGTTGCTTTCATATCTTGGCTATTGTAAACAACACTGCAATGAGCATAGGGGTACATATATCTTTTCAAATGATTGTGTTCATTTTATTTTGATAAATACCAGGAAGTGGAATTTCTGAGTCACAGTTTTTGAAGAATCTCCATACTGTTTTCCAGAAGGGCTACACCAGTTTGCAGTCCCACCAACAGTACACAAGGATTCTTTTTTCTCCACATCCTCACCAAGATGTTATTTGTTGACTTTTTTATAATAGCCATTCTGACTAGTGTGGGATGGCATCTCATTGTGGTTTTGATTAGCATTTCCCTAATGGTTAGTAATGTTGAGCATCTTTTCATATGTCTGGTGGCCATCTGTATGTCTTCTTTAGAGAAATGTTTTCTTCATGTCCTCTGCCCATTTTTCAATCAGATTAATTTTTTGTTATTGAGTTGTATGAGTTTCTTATATATTTTGGGTATCAACTCCTTATCAGATATATTTAATTTGTTAATATATTCTCCCAGTCAGTAAGGTTGCCTTTTTGTGTTGCTGAAGGTTTCCTTTGATGTGTATTAGCTCTTTAGTTTGATGTAGTCACGTTTATTTGTTTGTTTGTTCCATTGCTCAAGAGACATGTCCAAAAAGGTATTACTCAGAGTGATGTTAGATAGTTTACTTCCTATTTTCTTCTAGGAGTTTTATGGTTTCAAGCTTTACATTTAAGTCTTTAACCCATTTTGAGTTTATTTTTGTATATGTTGTTGGGGAGTGGTCCAGTTTTCTTTTTTTTTTGCATGTACCTGTCCAGGTTTTCCAATACCACTTGTTGAAGAGTCTATCATTACTCCAGTGCATATTTTTACCTCCTTTGTCATAGATTAGTTGACCATATAAGCAAGAGTTTATTTCCAGGCTCTCTCTTCTGCTCCATTGACCTGTGTGTCTGTTTTCATGCCAGTACCATCCTGTTTTGATTATTGCAACTTTGTAGTACAGTTTGAGATCAGGGAAGGTGATACCTCCAACTTTGCTCCTCTTTCTCAGGATTGCTTTGGCTATTTGGGGTCTTTTGTGGTCCCATTTATTCTAATTCTTAAAAGAATGCCATTAGTATTTTGATAGGAATTCCTTTTAATCTGTAAACTGCTTTGGGTAATATGGTCATTTTGACCATATTAATTCTTCCAATCCATGAGCATGGTATATTCTTCCATTAATTTGTGTCCTTTTCAATTTCTTTCATCAATGTCTTACAGTTTCAGAGTAGAAGTTTTTTCACCTCCTTGGTTAAGTTTATTCCTGGGTATTTTATGCTTTTTGATGCAGTAGTAAATGGGATTGTTTTCTTCATTCATCCTTCTAATTGTTTGTTATTAATGTACAGCAATTCGACAGGAAAACCTGACATCTTTTCTCTGATCCAGGACTTAGATCAAAAGACAAAATAAACACACATAAGAATCTAATGTCATTGGCAATAAGCACCAAAAGAAAGGTCCAGATCATGTGTTTTGGGTTTACAGAAAAGGGAGATCACTAGGGGCCAAGGAACTAAGTCTTAAACTGAGCCATGAAGTCTGGTTATGTGATTTTCCAATATGTAATTATTATTATTAGATAGTTTCAGGAAAGAAATTATTCCCTTTGGGACATAAATTCACTTCCATGCCTTTCTCTCTTCCAGAAAGTTTCAGAGCCCCAAAATTGGTCAGATGGCCAGGCCTGCTTCACTGAAGCCATATGTAGGCCCATGGTGTGAGAGGCACTTAGACAGACATGAGCAGAGCAAGGATGATGGGCCAGGTACAGAAGGTCACCAGGATGAAAAGCCTCAGGTGCCTAGCAAAGGACAACTGTAGGGTGGGACCTTGCCCTAGGGTGACCTTCCCTCCCCTAGCATATGGCTCCTCATGCTGTTTGGACCCCTGACCTTTCCTCACTAGAGATAACATTCGGCCTCAGTTGTATTTCAGCTCCAGGACCAGAAAAGCAGCAAAACTAGACAAGCGACCCCATGCTGCCCTCAGGACCAGCTGCATTGAATAGTGACACCCCAACCCTGGCACCTACCAATCAATCAGTGGAGACACCAACCCTGAAAGGACACACCTGGAAAGCTGATAAATATCCTATTAAGATCTTTCCCTGAGACCTGCCCTAAAATCTCCACCCATAAAACTCTTAGAACTGAGTACCCAGAGGGTTCTCCCGCCTGGGGGCACACTCCCACCCTTCCCTCTCCCCTCCCTCCCCTTAGGGGTGTTACCACTACCTTCCTCACTCCCAAGCTCCAAGGGCCCTCCTTGGCCTCTATAACTTGTTTCCTCAG